TTTTTGTGTTATTTAGTTGATTTTTTTTTTCCTCTAAGTGTACATATGCTCCCAATAATATGGCAGAAAATATTGACTATATGTCCAGGTTATGACTTAACAGCTGAAAACATAAGGCAAACAAAGGGGACAAATTTTATTATTGTTTTATGTGGATGCCTAGCTCCTGGGCTTACAATTCTTAAGACATAACTGTTCCTAGCAGAACTGTAATAAAAACCAGGCAAAAATGTAACACATAACCCAGGAAATTAAAGACATTCCATTGGGTAAGTGGATTGAGTTTTCAGTTTAAACCCTCAAGGATGCATGCATCATTAAAGAACTGATAGGTTAGGTAAGAGTACCATCCCCAGCTGGTAAAACAGGTGTTTCACTATATGCTATGTTTGATAAGAGTTTGCTGCCCATTTTACAGTTTAATTTTGATTTTGGCAAGGCTCTCACTTCAAACTATTATAAATTAAGATGAAAGGGGATTAAAACCCCTCAGAACAATCTCCTGAGATTCCAGTATAATGAAATTACACACCTCCCCCCCCCGAAAAAAAAAAAAAATTAAATCCCCTGCTCTCCACTCCTAGACAGGTCAAAAATTATAAGTTTTAGTAAACTCGAGAAGAAAAACCTTCTACATGACTACTTCATGCTCCCTCTGCAGTTTGTCAGGGAGTATTTTGATAAAAGCATGCCAACAAGGTTTCCAAAATTTTCCTGAATTGTGAATCCCCCTTTTTGTTTTGGGAATAAATATTTGAGGTAGAAATCAGGTCAGAGGCAGCTAAATGGCCAGACTCCCACTGACTTCAACATAACCAGCATCTATTCCTGTCACACAGTGATTTTTCTTTTTTTTCCTGACTACAGAAATACCAGAGGTGTTTCAGTAAAAAGAAAGTCATCTTCAGAGCAAAACTTGAATCTTTTTTCCTCTCTGAACACCATTTTAACTGCAGGTCATGATAAGGTAGTGCAATATTATAACAAAGTCAATGTTTACTGTGCAATGTTTACATGCCATATTATGACAAAGGAAAAAGGCTTTACCTCAGGAAAATGAGGATGGAAGTTATGTTTTTTCTTATCCGTGGGGAATTGCTTTGAACCTTCTAATCCTAACTAAGTGATATATTAATACTTTATTTATTTATGCCTCTTTGTTTCCTTTTTGTGTTTTGTCTTTTTTTTTTTTTTACCTATGGCTATGTATCTTTGCATCCATCTTTCCACCATGTTGAAAGCTGTACTTTTGTATGCTCAGCCTTTTTTATTGTGAATTGTTGACGTGCTTCCTTTTTTCCCTCCCCCTTTTTAGTACATTTATTTTAAATTAAATATTTTTTCCTCCACTAAAAACAGAAGCGTGGAAGACGGTAGATTTCCAAATAAAAGTGTCATTTCTTCTACCCCTCTGTTCTAGGCTGTCAGATTTCTGCCAAACCATTTTATACCACTGCATTGCAAGTGATGTCTGTGACCAAGAGGTCCAGCATTTTGAGCAGTTTCAGGTTTACCCTTATTTTCCTCTCCAAATACTTCTTGCCTTGTACAAAATTTTCATATGTTCTTTAATACGATGAAAAGAATGTCCCATCATGCCATCTGGTCTTTATTCAGGATAGCTAGTCCACATGACCTGTTTTGCAGGAACACCGCCTGCAGATGTTTTCCCTAGATTTTTCCTACCCTAGTTCCTGTTTTCATTGACCTCTAAAATCCCCTGAGTTTTTAATTTTATTTTATTTTCGTTTGGTTTAGCTTTTGTTGCATGCAAACCATACGGGACACATTCTGAGGAAAGTAAACAGCATTGCTCCAAGGCTAATAACTTAGTTCTTTAAGTCTTACATATAATAGAGTTATTGTGAAGTGGGAAAGGAATCCAGGGCTACGGCTTGCCAGGTGCTCTACTGGTGTGTTATCCTCATCACTTGTTGTTGCTCTGTGAGACAGTAAAACTCTAGTGTGGTTTATTTTTATTTCTTCACAGCTGCACAACAATGTGGAAAAATAATGCAGATTTAAAATACTGGGAGCAGGAAGGGGGTCTAAGTGGGAAGTGATATTTTGGTACAAAAAAGTTGAAAACTTTGACTTATGATACCTTCCCACCTTATAGTACCATGCACATGTTCCCACTGTGAAATTAATATTTTTAAACATACTTTTGTTAGACACTGTTGTTTCTAAGTGAGAGACTCTCTGGGTGTTTGAATAAAACAAAATATCTTGTGTGTTTCTCCAAGATAACATTAACATATTCAGGAGAAAGCATTGGCAAAGCAGAACAGATTGATCTTAGGTACCTAGATAACTTCTGGGTTTGGTCAGGGCTATCAGTCCTGCTCTGAAAAGATGTAAAATCCTTTTAATATCAACTACTCAAAAGAATACTTACATTGCAGTGCCTAGCTGAATGTACACCAATGTGTTTCCATCAAGGAATATTTCACACCAGATCATCTGCTGTGATAATCACAGTCCAAAGATTTTTAACTAAAAGATCACAAAGTTAAAACAAATTAAAAAAAAAAAAAAAAAAAAAAAAAAAAAAAAAAAAAAAAAAAA